AGGAGGGGGTGTGGGAGTCAGTTTGGGTGAAGGAGGGGGTTATGATATGGGGCAGGAGCCTGGGGGGCAGGGTCCAAGAGAGGTTATGGGGGCGAGTTGTGACCTGGAGGAGATGGGGAGAGGGGATATAAAAGATTTGTGTGATGGACTAGGGCAGATGGTTGGGATGAGAGAGGGGCTGGGGTGCCAGAGGGAAGTCTGGCTGGGAGATGCTTACCTAGATGGCTTCCATCCAGCAGCTTTGCACAAACCTGACACAGTCTGCCTGTGTGTAGGAGGGAGCAAGAGGTGCTGCTCCATGTGGCTCTGCTCCAGCACAGGGAGTGAGGAGGCTTCATTTGCTGCCCCTGCTGTCAAGATAATTTCTCAGCTCCTATTGGCTGGAAACTAACCAATGGGAGCTTGGGGTTTGCTAGGGGATAGGGACAGTGAAGATTGCTTCTCCCAGCCTATCTTGGCAGAGTAATTAGCAGCCTGCTCTTTAAAGCAGCTGCTTTGTTGTAAGGGTGTTGGTGAGGTGGCACTCAGCTGGATTCTGCCCTCCTCTTGCCTACCACCCTGTTGTATACATACTCAAACTGGAGAAACTACTGAATTTTGGTGCAATTGTTGTTTTCTGCTTTGGAGTTTCTGGGGCATCAATGAAGTTCTTTGCTTGTGTTAACCTCTCATTCTAGCCCCTTTCTTGAACATCAGAAATAAACAAATTATTTCAAAGCAGAGCAGTTTCAGCTACGATAAACTATAGCTATACATACACTTCTAATGTACAAATCATTTCAACAGCTCCCAAACAATCTTGATAGAAATTTGGTGCAAGATCAATAGGCTTGAAATTAAATATGTAGGATATTTACAGGGAATCTATTTGAAAAATTCCATTTACTGAAAATGTGTTTTCCGCTGCTTTTTTGTGAGGTGATAAGAGAATTAATCCAAATGTAGAGATAATCGTTAAGTTTCATTTTGGGAAATGAGTCATTGTCACTTTCTTGCCTCTTAGTAGGGAAAATAGATCATAGCTCTTGAAATTGGTTGGATTATTAGCAATCTTACACTCTTGGATAAAATATTCCCCTTTTTGGCAGAATAAAGATATTGTGTATTAATTCTTACCTGAAGCCCTTGTGTATTTTGAAATGTATGCTTGGAAGGATTAATAGCACAGGCTTAAAGATTTAATATGGATTCACTTCTCTGTATTCTGATTCTGCATATAGGAGCATCAAAATGAGAGCTTTGATATAAGTACAATATACCATTTCACTTACACTTTGGAGATGTTGTTTAGATCTTAGTTATGGGCTGATGTTCCTACTTACTTTCATATACTTGTACTTAAAAATGCTCCTGTATTTCCAAAAAAAATCCACTAACTGAGAAATGGAGTCTTTACTTACTTTTAGAATGGATGATGCAACATGCTTAGTCAGCCTCTATCATATACTCCATCCCGACTGTCAGTCAGCAAAAGCAGCAAAAGACCAGGTACTTCATGGAGTCGATTTAATCAAGGTATAATACACTTTCCTGCTTTGGATGTTATAATGCAAAGGTGTAGTTCACCTTGACACTGACTTTTGTTATAGCTAACCAGAAACCCTATCTTTGTTCGTTCAGGAACCCTCTTTAGCAGGCATGTATAAATCACTACTTCTGACTTCACTGGAAGTGGTAGGCTGAGCTGCCACAAAAAAGTCATTCTTTAAATTGAAAACTGTACATTAAATTCTGTATGCTGTGTCACCATTTTAACTTTTGTCTTTAACAGGTGTTCATGAAAACAGAATCAAATAGGATTGGATATATAGAACTGGCTCTTCAAGCTTATCAGGAAGCATTGGCTAGCTCAGCAGCTTTGTGAAAGACTGGATTAAATAAGTTTTAAATGTCAGATGTTTTGTTATGTTAACACATGGGAAGTACAAACTGTTGCTAATGCTGTATAGAACTCTAAAATAAAACAACCAACTGAGGTATGTGGTTTTGACTCTTCAGAAAATAGTGTATGGAAAGTACCAAGGAATCACGTTTCCTAATCATAGGCCCTGGCATTTGTGGGGGACCAATACAGCAGTACACAGATAATCCAGGAAGCTTTTGGAGAATGTTGGGGACAGCTTCCTAGTATAAGTGCTGAAGGAACCAACAGCATATTATGGTGCATTAGGAAGAGCATTGCCAGCAGATCTAGGGAAGTGATTATTCCCCCTTTATTCAGCACTGGTGAGGCCACATCTGGATTACATTGTCTAATTCTACCCCCCCACCATTAAACAAAAGATATGGATACATTAGAGAAAGTCCAGCAGAGGGCAACAAAAGTGATTAGGGGGCTGAGGCACATAATTTATGGGGGATTTGGGCTTATATGATCTACAGAAGAGCAAGGAGGGACTTGATAGGCTCCAGCTACCTGAAAAGAGAGCTCGAATGAGTAGTGTTTTCAAGTTACAGTAGGGGAGGTGGAGGCTGGATATTAGGAAAAAATATTTCACTATAAGGGTGGTAGACTAGAATGGATTACCTAGACAAAGGTGAAGCCTCCATTCCTGGAGGCTTTTAAATCCTGTCTTGAGGGAAAAAAAGCTATGGGTAGAATGATTTAATTGAGATTGTTCCTGCTTTTAGTAGGAGGTTGGACTACTGTAAGGTCTCTTCTAATCCTATTCTATGAAGCTGTAGGATAATGCTAAGTGAAGGAGGGGAATATAGGTAATTATGGGAGAGGACTATTATGCAGTACATTGATATAATAGGAAAGGGACACTTCTGCATGCAACTTAATGTTTAGCTAGGGGCCAGGTGTTCCATTTAACTTCTTTCAAGATAAGATGAAGACCAGTACAGCAGTTTTAATTCTTTGCAAATGTTAGTTTCCCCCTTGGCTATGTGAATTATCAATTAGTTGTCTTGCCCTTATGGCTAAGCCTTAATGCATTGATTGACAATTTATTCAATTAAACCATCATAGGAAGATGCTGGAGCTAGTTACTGTTGTAGGAGCATTCGGGCTGCTGTGGGATAAGGCACCTATGTAACCCTAAAGAGGTCCAGAATTTTTAGTATGTACTGTAATTAATAGATGAATGAATTGCACCACAAGGAAATGGAAGACAACACTGAGTACAAAGGCAGTTACTTTACCACTTAGTTGTGCACAATATTCACTATAAATGTTTAAGGATTGTCCCTTGGAAAGGGAATAAGCAAGAATGCAAATAGAACTGGTTTAAAACACTTTATTGTGTATTTCTCTTGATAAATGTGACAACACCGCCTGTGGTGAGCTGCCTAGTTGCTATGCTAAATGAACTTCAAGAATGGGCAATCTGAAAACTCATTTTTGTGCAACTGATGGGCCCTGTACACTTATGTTGGCCAGGTTCAATATAAAAAAATTAGGCTTGTTTCCAACCTGTATAGTCCATAGTAATACAATTCCTTAGTGTAGCAATTATGCATTCAAGGATTTGGTCACTTAAAATCAAGTTCAGTCATCCAAGATCTCTTCGTCCAGATTAATATCTGTAGTATCAATGTCCTCCAGATCCAAGTTATCCAAATCGTCATCTAAGTCCAGTAGTGCCTGAGAGAAGGAAGATATCTGGGATTAAATGCCAAGGGAAAGTCGTGTTAACTCTGCATAAATATGTAACTGCTGGAAATTTTAGCAGTTACGTTTACAGGGTGTAGGGGTGGTACAAGGCACAAGCCAGTGCACTGGGAAGCTGGCTTTTAAGCCTGCTCCATGTATGTACTGGCTCCCACCTACAGCTCCCTGCCCATCCAGCTGCCTCTGATAGAGGCAACAGCACAGGGTGCAGGTAGCTCTGCAGGAGGGGATACACCTAGCTTTAGCTACCCCCTCAGGTGTACCTTCTCCTGCCTGCCCCCCTCCTATCAGAGGCAGCAGCTGGGGCTGGGGAGTGACTGACTCCCCATAGGCATTTGTGTATTCATTATGATTAACTGATAAGCCTGAACTTCATTCATCCCTAGTTACTATAGTTATGCATGCTGTGAATCCTTTAGAGCAGAGCTACTCACATGGGCTGCAGCCTGGCTTGGGTTTACATGGGGCTCAACATGTGGCCCATGAGTAGGATCCTTTGAACATGGTCGCCAGTGGGAAGGCATCTCCCAGATTGGGTGAGCATTGGAAGACAGAAGCGGATGGGCATCAGCATTTCTAGTCCCTATGGAGGAGGTGCCAGGAGTGTTATGAGAAGTGCTTTGTATTCATGCCCAGTGTGAAAAAAATCTATTGGCATGTACATGCAGCCACACTTAAGCTGAGGCCCTCAGCATGTGCTGTATTACTGTGGCCCCTGGGGCTTCCAAAGTTGAGTAGCCCTGCTTTAGAGGGTTATGTTTGCAAATAAACTGATGCAGCTCTTTGGACCTAGCCACAAATACTGATGCTATTTTAAAAAACTTCAATTTGAACTACTTTGGAGTAGATATCTTCAGTTAAGCATACTCTACTACTAGACATGCAGGTGTTCCATTGAGAAGTAGTCTCTCTGGTCAAGTAAACACGTAAAGGCTGTCTGCTAGACTAGAGGGGACTGAGTGACTGAAGAAACTACACATCCCTTTCCTAGTTGAGTATTTTGCAAACTTCACTACTTACTAGTGTTATATCTGAGGTTTCTAACTTATGTATCACTTTTCCGGTAGAGGAGACGATAAAATATCAAACTGTTGAACTGTAGTTTCAGATTCTTTCCTCATCTCAGAGCTATTCTTTTGCAACTGAAATATACCTTTTCATCTTTTGTTGGAAGAGGTTCAGAATTTCCTGTGACTGGAGGCACTACTACTGGTTTAGGAGATGAAGCCAGTTCTTCCTCTTCAGATTCCTTATGATATGAAAAGGAGACAGAGTAATGCTATTTCTCTTATGCAACAACAGCATGGAAGCTTCAGATTAAGAACTTCAGTTCACTTTGAAAACAAATTGAACAAAAATTCTGAAGTGAGGTTTTTAGGATCTGCCATAAAAAACAAAACTGGGCCTTTTTTTCCTCTAGGACTATAATAGTGTTTATTACAACTACAAAACAAGCTGAAATTGATGCAAAATCTAATGTTTGTGTAAATACCTGTTTTTGGTGGACAGAAAAGATTCATGTTTTGAATAGAATGCAATGTAGGTTGCTGCTGAACTGAAACACAATGCCACCTCTGAATTTAAGAAAACATTTCTAATTCCCAAATAACTTAATTTGATTTAACAATTTAATGTTAAACCATTTTAGAGTATCAAATCTGTAAACTGTTGTCTGCTAGTAGTTTGAAATCAGTATGTTTAGATATGCACACAGTTCAGTTTGGTGAATACCTGTTTATTGTATGAATCTTCTAGACTAATTCATAGCCCTACTTCAGACAACTTGACATACATTCTGAGGTACGCATTTCATTTTCCTAAGAAAATTTATACTTTGAATACTAAAACATGGTGAAAGTCAGCCTGTGTAAAATGCAGGATGTGCTCAGTTCAGTTTAAACTGAACACAAAGGTTTAAGAGAACATGCCTGCAGGAGCAGGTTCAATTTCCTGCTTGCTACAGAATGTTTGGAATGGGGAACATCTATGTAATCATGCAGCAGTTCCCAACCTTTTCCAGCTGGGGCCCCATTCTGACAATTTAGGAAGATCTGGTGACCCAGGGCAATTCAAAGAGTGTGACTGGCTCCTTAAGAGCCACCTGGCATCCCTTTTGAAATGTAATGGTGACCCATAGGTTGGGAAACCCTGATGTAATGGAAGTCAGAACACAAAGCAGGAGTAAGTCAGCATTTTCTTTCCCACTAAGTTCAGGGACAGGTTTGCGTGTGGTTTTTTTTTTTTAAAGCCTTCTAAGGTACTACCCGCTTTAAAGTAAGCCCTTTCAATTATAAGAGAAATGGAAATGAATTTCCTCGTCTGCTAACTTGTGCTATTTTAGTTTTTTACTTTGATGAAAAGACAACATTTATCACATCTTTAGACCACTGAAGTTTTAGAGTGCTGGGGGGAAAAACCAGTTAAAGCGAACTGTATTAAATAGCACCACAAAGGAAAACCTACCTGTGAGTCTGATTCAGCCTGCTAAATGTATTAGATATTTGTACTCACAGCAACAAGAGTTTATTCACAAGCAGCAATCATACAAGATATGGGTAAGAGTCCTTGTGGTATCTTTCAGAAATCAAAGAACCCTATTTTAATTCACAATACCAAAACTGACAAAATTACACACTTAAGTCTGTTTTTTAGCACCCCAAGTGAGATGATTTCTCCACTCCATGTGTCACTAACAGCTCTAGAGCTAGATACTACTTGTAAAAGTGTGTGTGGTGGAAGTACAGCAGTGACTTAAAGCAATAATTTGTCCATTGAACAGTGGGTATAGTGTCCCCACATCAGCTGTGATTGCACAATACCAGATCCTCCTCATCCTGGAACTTTATTGTTTAGTTGTAGTACTGACCTGGGATACTATTACTCCTGAAGGTTCAAAGCCTTTTGCTTCTTCCAGTAAATTCCTTTCTTCATTTGGCTACCAAAATAGAGAGAAAAATACTCTGAAGTAAAAGGTTTTTCAGTAAACTGTAAAATCACAATTCCAAGTATGAAAGTATTATCTGTTAAACACAAAACGCTTTACTTACAGTGACAAGCGGGTATTCCTTGGCTGGTCGCAAATCAGCATGAGTTTCCTTTAAGTAATCTTCAACAACAAAAGCTTCTTTTAATCCAGGGAAAAGGTTTTCATACTCTGTTGGATCAGCCAGAGACTCAGCAGCTTTCTGATTCACTTTAGAGAGATTCTCTCGCCACAGTTTTACAACCCTGGCAATGGAGCAGAATATATGCTGTAAACAGTGAGTTTTTAAACAGGAAAATGATCTACTTTAAATACATTAAAAACTTACCTTGAAACTTGGCTTGGTAAATATGTACGTGCTAAGAAGGCAGCTTCTGGCAAACGTCCTGTTTTAATCAAGAGTTCCAAACAACGGTCAACCCTGGAAGGTTACATTTTGAAGTCGTCAATACATTAATACTCTCATGTGTTAAAACAAACACAGATACTACATTTGAGTCAGATGATCATGAAGTTCCTGAAGTAATGAAAATCAGTGCTTTCTGCTCACACTAGATATACCAACTACGTTTTATTGTAAGATGTAGCCTCAGTCTTTCTGAAAATGATGGTTAGGCACACCACAGTCAACAAAATGCAGCATAGTAACAAATGCTGAATTTCCTTTTGAATGTGTGTTGTAAAGCAGTTATACCAGGGATTAATTTGGCATTATCTAATTTATTGGTGTTTTCATTATCTCAAATATTGTTAAGAAAAATTAGGTAAACTTTATAGTCAAAGTAACAGTTAATGGAACAGCCACAAATTTCAAGTGACCTCAACTTTACTAAAACAAAATAGCCTCAAAGTTTTAGCAATGAAATGTCAAAAAGCTTTTTCTTCCAAGTTATTTCAAAATATCAAGCTTGTCTTACATTAAAAACTGAGCACTTTTAAAATTTGTTTAAAATAAAGCAATTGAAAGCTCAAGAGCACAAAGTTTTCTAGACCCACTAACAACTTGCTATTCTTTCATTGATATGATCCGCTACAGGCACATTACATTGCAGCAGCAATTCCCAATTTGGAACTCTGGGTCATATGGTGCTAGCTCTCTTTTCTCTCTCCTATGGGATAGCTAAACAACAGGAAAATATTCTGTTTCCGCATCAGCCATTGCTTGTAGTCAGGTCTGTTGACAGGAGGGGAAAGGTGGCAAGCAAAAGGGGCGGTTGCCCAGCAGCTGCTGCAATTTGGCAGTGGCCAGAGCCCTTGCCCTGTTTGAATTGCCACTGGAGCACTGTGTCAAGTGGCTCTGAAGGGGGAGGGCCACACACCATGGTCCATGCAGCGATGAAGGTTGGCTGCCCTGGCCCTGCCCTTTCTAGCTATCCCCTTTCAGGGACCGCTGGGGCTATTGGCCTGCTGGTTATAGTATACCTGTGGCATCTATGTGAGGTATGGGTGCACCTCAGTTTGAGTATTAATACAGTGAGGACAAACAAGTCAAGCCTTTGTTTTCTACTTACTTTCCCTGCAAAAAGTAGCTCATAAAAGCTACATTGTTCTTGCCATCTTTTTCTGCTCCCTCTGCTAGTTTGTTCACCATGTTAGCATTTCCTGAAGCAGTGGCCAATAGCAATAAACCTCCATAGTCCTGTGCATGGTGCAGACACTCCTGGGCTAAGCCAAACTGGCATTTGCTGATGGCAAGTTCAGCAAGCTGCTTCCACTTCTGTTCTGACTGCAAGAGATTTTCCATGTTTAAGCATTTTAAATTAAAGAACAGCACTTTTTAAAATAAAGAAAGACATCTCTGAAAACTTCACATTTGCAGAAGTATAAATTCAGTCAAGTTCATCCCTGTTATCCCAACTTCACTCGAATGTAAGGCTAAGATTGTGTCATGGTTATTTTTAATACAAGTCCTAGGCAATAAATAAAAATTCACAGAAGCCTGCTCACTGTCCATGACTTGTACTAAGCATCCTTCTCAGTGCCTCTCTGCCCATGAAGTCTAGCGGCTACAGGTCCCCCTACAGCGCTATGGAGCTGGAACCTCAGAGCTGTAGAGTTCCTCCCTTCGCCCGTGACAAATAAGAGCGCTGGGGGCCCAGCTAGCTAACTGTTCCAGCCCCGCAGTTGAAGCAGAAAGTGTCATGGAGGTCTTGAAGTCACAGACTGTGTTAACTCCATGATATAATCATAGCCTTACTTACATACATACAGTGAGTTTGAGTTAATATCCCCTCACAAAATGCCAATGTAACAGCTATAAATTAACAAGGGTGTGACATCACACAGACTGTATTTTATACACTCTGTAAAGTTCTTGTAATTTTCATATGGCAAACTAGTAGGATTTCATTGAGTAAGAGGAGGAAAGCAAGATGAAGGCAGCACATTAGACTGTTGCCAGACATGATGTTTAGCAATTTGTTTTAAAGGTACAACATGCAATAAGCCTTTTTTTTAGCAATAAAGTAACAGAGTGACTGACAAGGCACATGAGAGAATATCTTTTCCTAGATCAACTTCTGTTGGTAGAAGGGGCAAACTTTTAAACTTACACAAAGCTCCTCTTCAGGCCTTAAAGCTAAGTAAAAGCTTTAAAGCGCTAAAGCTTAATCATAATTGGTGTGGACTGCTAAGCATGAGGGGTTCATACACAGTGTACGAGACCATTTGAAGTAGGCAATTACCAAGACTATCCTCGAAGTTAGTTATGGTGTATCATCTATGTTCATCACTAGAAATGGAGTTTGGATCTTGGTGTTTGTCTAGGCAAAGGCTTCAGCCCCTGAAACTGGTAGGTCTTAGGAATCAATGCCCATCCATGAGAAGTCCCTTTTTCCTGTACCAATTCTTGGATTTGTTTCCCTTCCTTCTAGTTTCCAGTGAGAGCACACAAGGTTGGAGGGCAAGATGATGACCTGAGCCAGTATATCCTTCACAGAGAATTCAGATATGTTCGGTTCTGCTGTCCCTCTGGAAACCTCCTTCCCACTCAGAGCTCAATTCCCTACGGAGCTCTGGTCACTGGAGGCAGTGCAAGTAAGAGAGCAGGTTTCAAGGATCTGTTCTCCATCCTCAGATACTGATCTCCTTCCCTAAGATGAGGCCTAGTCCTCTGTTATTCGTGCCAAGACATGCAAGTTTTGCAACATGACTTTTAGTTAAAGAGAATTTTATGTTTACCTCTGCCTCCACTGCAAGCTGGTATGCAATGTTTAATTCTCCTAGCTGAAGAGCAAGCTCAAAGCGATGTTCAGGATCTGTGGATACTGCAAGAGCTTGTTGTTTGAAGCCCTAAAACAGATTTTTCAAAAGTCAAATTGTAGTCTACCAAGTTCATCAGCAATCCTTGAAATTTCATCCTGATCAAATATCTCCCTTTATACAACAGTCAGTTTGGCTTGGATAAAAAACAAAAAGACTGCTTTATTCTTAAATATTAATGTAGATAGATTAACGACAATTTTTTAAATAGTTAGTTTTTTCATGCAGAAATGTGAGAATTCCCTTTCAAGTAAACTGAAAAAGTTAAACTGGAATTACAGTTTATATTTGGAGAAACAATTCTCTTGCCTGTTTTTCAAGAAAATGTGCAACTCTGGTCCTCTGTTCCTTTGGAATTGTGGGAAGAACCTTATCAGCCATACCAAAGTCTCTCCTCATTACTGCTGTCTGGTACTCGAGCACTGAGACCAACAAGGAGTAACTAACGATGTTTAGCTCTTTATCACCCAGATAAAGCCTGTTGTCCTTGGGGATATACCCTAAAAGGTACATTGTCCTATAACAAAAACAATGAATTTTAATCTATTGTAGACATCCAACAGAAGATTTGATAAATCATATGAAAGCAACACCATCAGCTAAAGCTCATTTCAGTTTTATTAATATACATATTTTAAAATAATTTTTAGTATTCTGTGCAATATTACGGTAACAATGGTCCTCGAGATACATTAAACTAGCGTGGCTAGAAAAAATGGTGCATGCTAAGAAGTCCAGCCACTTAGTGACAAGTTTTGCAATGTTTCATAGTATGTTTTAAAACAAGCAAAATAAATTGGCAGAGGTCTATAAACTACGTACTCACCTATCCAAATGAGCAATAGTGACAATTTCTCCTCCAACATAGTAGTTCAGTCTGTTCACAGAACTGGTGTAAATAAAACAGTCACCTACCCACAACCCCGTTTTCACAATCTCCTGAATCTCACCAAGAACCTAAGGAGAAAAAAAAAGCATGTAAACCTTAGGACTCTTGACAGCCATGAAAAACTACTCCAGTTTTAACACTCCATCCTTTGGAAGGCACAACAGAGAAAATTAAGATTGAATTCTAGATACAAACTAGGGATGTAAATGAGTAGAGTCGAGTACTCGCTCCCCTCCACCCATTGCTGCCTTTGTATGAGGCAGTGGGTGGTGGGAGGGGCTGCCTCCCCTCACCCTGTTCTGCTGCCTAACAGCAGCCCCTGCCTGCAGCAGCTGCAGGCTCACCACAGGCAGGGGCTGCTGCTGGAGCAGGCTCTATCCACAGCCAGCACTAGCACCGCCGTGGACAGAGGCTGCTTCATGGCAGCTTCCCCCTTCTCCTGCCCCCCCAGCAGCCTGTTCATGGGGAACTCGGATCCCCTGTGGACAGGGGCTGCTAGTCTGCAAGGGGAAATGGTTTTTAAACTGGCTCCCCTCACTGACTGGCTCCTGCCTGGCACCCCGCACTGTTGCCTTTGATAGATGCAGTAGCTGCTGGCCCTGCCCCCACGGTCTACTGAATAGTTGACAAATCACTAAGCACTCATGCGGTTACTGACTAGTCAATTAATTGATAGCTAACATCCCTAGCTAGGACCACCACATTCAGTACACAGCTTTCTCTCATCAGATCTTAAAGCAAGGTAAGGGGTTATTTGTGGCAGGAAAATGGGATGTGCCTGGAATAGGTTTTATGAGAAACAGTTCTAACAGGAAAAAAAAGATTCACCAAATCAAGTACAGCCCTCAAAACTGACATAACAGCCAATGTTGGAAGAGACTGAACCAAGATGAGCCAGAAGAATAGGATGAACTTTGAATAGGATTGCTTCTCAATAAGCCTTACAGAAACAAAAAGATAAAATAGAAAAATTCAACATAGTGCTCTCTTTGGCACACTCAGGCAATGCTGGGTAAATCTACTAGTTTATAATAAAAGCCAAGAATTACAATTCCAAGTTTCAGCCAGCAGCATTTTTTCACTGTTAGAAATTCTATTTTAAGATATTGAGAGCTAACAGATGGGAAGGCAAGTTTATAATAAAGTTATAGTAATAATTATTCTGCATGATAGCCATAAAAGGTTAGTGTGTTACTGTATGCATTCAAGATTTGATCCAAAACCTACTGAAGACAGTGGAAAGATTCCCATTGACTCCACTGGGCACTAGCCAAACCGCATTCCCCATTTTTAACAGCAGTTACCTCAAAGGCATCTTCAATGCCATCTTCAGTCACTCCCTCATGAGTTTCCTGTGCTGCTGCAACTTTCTCAGACAGGTACTTCAGAATGAAGAATGATTCCTCGGTGGCAATACAGACAAGCTCACCAGAGTCAGACCAGAAAATCTAAATAAAAATTAAAAATATAGCATTTAGGTTTTAGAGTGCTGTGATAAAAAATAAAGGATACATATCAAAATATTTTTTCATTTGCACGTCCAATGCAGGAGACATTGTGTGTGGAAGAATCTCTTTCTACTACAGAAAGTATAAAGATAGTTTTATCTTTAACACCTTCATGAGAGCGACCAATTCAGAAAAGTCTTTCTAAATGCCCTCCCCCATGATAGATTTTATATAAAGTATATTCAGAGTGGCATCTGACAAAAAACTCACATGTTTGGGCTGAATTTCAATTCTGCGTATCAATTCAGTGTTATCCCAGTCATAAAATGCCAAGCCATTGACAGATCTGACACCCAATAAGAAACCTCCATAGATACCTTAAAAAAAATAACAAATATGGAAGAAATTATTATTTCATTAGCAAACATTCTTTCCAGAAAAAATGTTAATATTTGTAATTGGGCAGATTATAAATACAAATAAAACCTACCCTCTGCCCCAAAATCAGGTTTAAAGGACTTTTTCTCTTTGAAGTTCTTAAATATCTTCACAACACTGTTGCTCTCCCTGATTGCATACCTAGAGAAAAATGCACATTACAAAACAATTGTCCAGACAAAATAGCAAAATGTTACGCTGTGCAGCTATAATGAACTGCTATAACTCTTAGGGTATGTCTATGTCTATGTCTACTACTAATATTTAAATCCCGGGCTTCATTTGCAAGTTTGAATGGCTACATTAGCCACCCTAGTCCGAACTAGGGTGGCTAGTGTAGACATACCCTTAGACACCTAAAATTACTATATTTAACATTTCTGTAAAATTAGAAGTGCCTGTTACCCAAGTTTGGTAAGTCTGGAAACTAGCAGAAATACATTTATTTAATACAATGCAAAATAAAAATTACACTTACTCTGAAGAATCATGAGCCCACACAAACTCCTGTGCAGAACCAAAACTCTTGTTCCTCAAAGCCATAGCTGTGTAAATGATGTATTCACCATCCCCACATACTACTACAAACCTAAAGATTGTGAAAAAAAACATTGGTGTGAAAATTATGCGTACAGGCCAACAGGCATTACTAGAAGTCAGTCAGTCAGTCATCTGGAAGGTATATTTCTCTTAGATAGCATATTTCTAAATTTAAAAATTGCAGGTATCTATTACCGTCCATTAGGGTTGTGCTGAATGGTCTGAGGATAGATTTCACAGCTTCCCATATCCTTTACAGCCAGTGGCAATCTTTCTCCATCTTTAATTTCAGCATCTCCCATAGCTTTTAAGTTTGCCTGTTGCACTTCTGAGTGTTTAGCCCAAATAATTTTTCCATTAGCATCCATAGACATGGCAGGTTCCTCACGGCCAAGCTAGTAAGAATATAAAACAAGCATATAAAACAAGCATTATTGGCCCATTAAGTTGCTCACATTTCTTTTCATTCACTTTAGATATTTATGGCTCTTTTAGAATATGCCAATAAATTGAAGCACACTTTTTCCACCATTTTCATGGCATATTTTCCCATTTCATATTAAGTTACCTTAACAATGATGCTTCCCTCATCATAGCCCAAAGCCACATTATTGGATCCTCTCAGACTGGCCACACACCACACTCTCTCCATGCCATAGTTAAGTGTACTTTCCAAGCGATACGTGCTTGAATGCCAAATGCGGACAGTTCCTGGAGAAAAGGATACATGTAATTTCAGTCTTCTCTCAGTAGTAGGGCTACTGAACAGTATTGTATTTAACAGGAAGAATCCAAGACCACATATAAAACTAACACCAATCATTTAAAAACTTTAGTGAAGTAGAACCTTAATCTTTCAATCCTAGCACAGTCTCTGATGCTTGGGGGGAATATTTAGTGTCTCCCACATTGTGACAGAGGCTGAAAGAGGGAAATCAGCAGAGACAAATCTCTTGCTAGGCACTTTAGGGATCACAGAAAGGAAAAATGAGAAGCTCCTAGCTGTCAGGCAGCTGTCACATACTTGCACAGAGATAGTGGGATGGAGTTGAACTGAGGGGGACTCTCTGCTTGCAGATGCCCTGGGCTTCTCAGCATCAATACTCCTGCAGTTCCTACCTTCCTCTCATTTATTGCCTTCCACAATAAGGAGTAGTCATGGATAGGAATGTGGAGGAAGACTAGAATTACTTTAATTCTAAGTTGCCAAAACTATCTGAAGCTTGCATCTCAAGCAAAGGGAAAAATAGGGAAGGGCTGTAGACCAACCTGAGTGAGCAAACATCTCAAACAAGAGAAAGATTACATGGATGGATCAAAGAAAGCCTACAAAAGGGTGTCTAACCTATTTTAACGGTGAGTTGGGGTTCCCCCGATCCTGCAGCCCAGTTGCACCAAGAACAGACTCTGCCAGCCAGTAAAATAGAGAGGGTTTATTGCTTCTCTGGGATACAGCACAGCATAGACATGATGCGGTTTTAGGAGTCATGGCTAAGATGCCTCAGACCCCTTGGATTAGGGGGTCCACTGTCACCCCTAGACCCTCAGCTAAGGCTGTTTCCTTCATGTTTCCCAGTCAGCAACTGCATCCCCCAAACCAGGTGTTCGTCTCCGCCTCCCTCCCTTTGTCTCTCCCCGGGGGGAGAACCTTGTTATCTGGTCAAGCTTTGCCTAGGTGTTTGGACTAATACACATGTGGGTGAATCAGGGGGAATCATACATCACAGTGCAGAGGGACACTGGGTTACAGAGCAGACAGCACCCCCACTACATCACACCTATCCTACTGTCCGTATATACTAAATGTCAGAAAACTCAAAGTTACCATCTTCTGAGCCTGTGATTATGATTGGTAGCTCAGGGTGGAAGCTGACACAGGATACATTCTGAGCGTGTCCCTCCAGTGTTTGCACACAGGTTTTATTCTGGAAAAAGGTAAAAATACAAGACGACAAAACATTAAACACTGCAATTTTCTCAAGAGCATCATCTTCAAAGAGATTTAAAATAAGAATTATGTAAGCATGTTTCTAGTTTTCTCTCTAACCTTTACTTCCTCTTCAGTTTGGTTCAATGAACAGTAGCCTTTTTTTAAGTCAAAATTAATTTGTTCCCATTAGCGTGTCTGCTTCTCGGTTTCCTAAGCTAACTCAGCTCCTATTTAGTAAACACACTGACAGCAAGGTGGCTCAATATACGAATGCATGACTGATGAAAGCCAAATATAGATCTGCATTTAGTTCAAGGAAAAACAAGCCTACATTTGTCCCTTAAGAAGTCTCTAAGGGGTCATGTTAGTCTGTAATTTTAAAAACAATGTCTTCTGGCAAAAATATAGTATAAGATCCACTTCATCGGATGAAAAACAACAAATGGTCTGGTAGCACTTTACAGACTAACAAAACATATAGATGGTATCATGAGTTTTCGTGGGCACAGCCCACTTCTTCAGATGAAGAATACCATCTACACAATAACATCTACATGTTTTGTTAGTCTGTAAAGTGCTACCAGACCATTCGTTGTTTTTTAAGTTTATCCTGTACAGACTAACTCGGCTACCTCCTGAAGCTTTCATCAGATGAGCTGGAGTAGAAATAACAGAATCCAAGATATATATAATAGCAAAAGTAGTACCTGTCAATTGTAGGACCCGTGTTAATGAAGCTAACTAAGTGGGCTGGATGTGTCCCATTCATAGCTTTTGATATGATAATATGGATGGTAAAGACAGGAAAAATTGGCTTTGTAGTGTGTTAGCCAGTTAATATCTTCATTCAGACAAACAGGATAATAGTGTCAAATTTGTAGATGAATTCCATCTCTCAGTAATTGGTTGGATAAATTCCTTTGAAGAATGGCTATTTTTAAATCCATGATTGAGTGACCAGATAGGTTTGTGTGTTGCCATTTCTGGTGTCTGATTTGTGTCCATTCATCCATTGTCAGAGGGACTCTCCAGTTTGACCAATATACATGGCAGAGGGGTACTGCTGGCACTTGATTGTATATATCACATTAGAACACAGGTGGGGAACCTTAGGCCCGGGGCTGGATGTGGCCGACTTGCCTGAATCCAGCCCCCAAGGCTTGCGACTTCCGCCCAGCATTGAGGAGCCCACACCCTGCCCCCTCTTGCAGAGCTGGAGCACACAAAATCAACTAGCTTGGATCCCTTAGGCTCTGATGTGCAAGGGGAATGTGGGGAGTGTCTTTCTCCTCAGTCCAGGCCCACATCAGTGAGAGATGTTGCTGATTTTGGTTTTTTCCCTTCTCACTTGTGTACCCTCCTACCCCCTCCCACCCATGATTTTTCTGTGGGTCAGCAGCCTCTGACCCAATAAAGGCTCCTTACCCCTGCATTAGAGGATGTGCAGTTGTATGATGTTGTAACTTACATGATTAGGTCCTGTGATGGTATCACTTGTAGAGCTATGAGGACAGAGCTGGCAACAGGATTTGTTGCAGGGGTAGGTTCCTCAGTGAGTGTATCTGAGGTATGGTGTCTGGCTGCTGGAAGAATATGCTTCAGTTTATGTGTCTTGGATTCTGTTATTTCCACTCAAACTCATCTGATTAAGTGGGTCTTACCCACAAAAAAAATCTCAATAATATATATTTTTGTTAGTCTCTAAGTGCCACAGGGCTACTCATTGGTAAGTATTTATTCACACAACTGAATGTGCTTGACGGGTCTAAAGCAAAAAAGCCATTCACACGTGGTGGCAAGATTTTATATATGTATTCCTGTAGTGAGCATTTCAACAGCACTGGCTACAGCTCTCACTTTCAACCTCTTGTGTATTCTACAGCAGTGTGCTTCCACAGCTGGAAGAAAAAAAACACTGGACAGTTTTCAGAGGGAATGTGCCCTCACTTCCCGATGCTCCTGCAATGGCTCCTAGCACAAGTAGCTATATGAACAGCTTATGAGCTGCAAGTTCCCGCAGCAGTCCACCAGCCCATCCTTTTCTTCTCTATTTGTACAGCAATTCAGCTCAGACTAGAGACTTTAGACCAGTGTTTCTTAAACTATGTTCTGCGGAATGCTAGTGTTCCATGAACAACTCGCAGGTGTGCTGCAACCTCTTCGTTGTTTTTGTTACTTCTTTGTTTTCTTTTTTTTTTTTTAAGAAAATATTCATAGGCGTTCCGCATAAAAAAATATTATTGTTTAGTGATCCATGGTCTCGAAAAGTTTAAGAAACACTGCTTTAGACTACAGGCTTTAGAATTCAGTTCCCCCATCAATGTCCAAAAAACAAATACCTAGCAAATGAGCAAAGGGGAAATCACAGACAGCCAGGAGAAGGAACATTAGAATAGAAAGCAACAAAGAAGAAGAAGAAAAATGAAATGACTGGAGAGAACAAGTGGATACAAAAGGACACAATTATGTCTGGACATACAGTAAGGGGATACAGAGAGCATATGGGTGCTCAGTCCATTGCAAAGAGGTTGGTCTCAAAATAAAAAAGGGACCCACTACGCTATAGGAAAAGAATTAAAGCTATTCAAGACAATGTTAAATCTGAATGTTACAAGTTAAGATTATTTCTATATCTCACCTCCAGTAATTGTTACACAATTTTTAATCTACTAGTTTTAGTTCAGTTTTTCTGTAAAATCCAATATAAAACTCTCTCTATTTTCTATTCAAAGACATGAAAAAAATCCATATTTTCTTTCTTCATTCCTTTCTCTCTTTTTCAATGCCTTTGTGCTCCTGGTAGAGCCCAGCCAATTTAATCAACTGAAGTGCTCATAAAGAAGTGAACACGTACCTGATAATCCCAAATTTTGACAAGGCGGTCATCTGCTCCTGAAATGAGGTAAGGCTTGTCTCCTCCACTATAATAATCAATGCAGTTCACTCCTTTTTCATGGCCTTCCAAAGTGAAGTTGGGTGAAGAAGAACCAAGCTGCCACACCTTTCAAAGAAAAAAAGATCAATCATACCTAAGTATTCATTTTACTGTCATGGGCTAGCACCTCCAGATAAAAATGAACTAGTCAAAGCTTGCTAAAATTCTGGAGACAGGAAAAGTACAGCTAACAGGTCTATACTACTACATCCTCATTTCATAAACGTAGTTAAAAAAAATCTCATCACACTTTGGGCCAATATTTCAAAGTAACAAAATATCTTTATCCTAAATGGCCTTTCTTATACGTTAAACTCCTGCATGTGCGTAGATTCAAAACCTGCACATGTATCTGTACACACCAAACATCACCTTATACACACTAAGTGTACTATTGTTTCAGAAATCTGCATTTTGAGTCAGAATTATATACATATCCCTTAGTTGTGAGTGTGCAGGCATGAGGGAAGAACTTTGTCTCCTCACTGCCATGCTAAATCCCATTTCATTTACTCATTAATTATAACTGTTGAAGGAGTCTTGAAGCATAGGTGGCCTTTTCTGCAGTCTTAACACATAATAAAGGTTTCAAGGGAACATGGGGAAATCTCAGGTCCCAGATGACTCCATGAACCCAATAATGGCTCCACTGTGCATGAGACTTTTCAGGATCTACTGCAGGGAAAGGAAGTACACATTCTACTATCTTGCATTTATCTAAACTGGACTCTGAAAGTGGATGATTTATGATGGTGAAGTAAAACCTCCATCCCCTGCAATTTGCAAAAATCCAGACGTTTCTGCCAATGATTCATATTTCAAAAGATATACAATAACTAATCTTAAGATTTCATAGCTATATCAAGTCTTTAGCCAGGCTCTGGTGGTTATTCAATCACCCAGAAGTTTATATATGTCTTTGTATGTCGTATATGTGTAAGATGTGAGTCTGTAACATATAATCACATATCACAAGCCTGAAACATAATGAGCAAGCTTTTGCTCAGTGTAATTGCAAGTAGGAAACAGGCCTGGTTAACAAGCAATATCATATGCTTGACCCTGTTTAAAGAATGCCAAAAAGTGCCAGGCACAGACTGTAAAACACAACACCTCGGTACCAAGTGCCTCCCCCCACAAATAATATACATACTGTCCTGAACCTGGGTTAGCATCTAATTTGACAGTATGATGGATAATAACTTGTGTGATGTAAGGGGTGATAACTTAGCACCAGAGGGTGGCAATATATGCCATGAGTGATGTGTAACTTGTTTGTACCTGTGTATAAAAGCATACTCTAAAGAACTGTCTTTGTCTAGCCGAGGGGGCAATTCTGGATCCATAGTACTGACTGAGCTATTCCACTGTCACCGAGTACGTATGCGTAATGGCTCAACGACAAGTCTGTTTGCAGACTATTATTATTGTCTCTCTCTTGGCAATAAACCTGGCCTAGTGCCTTCAATTCTTATCTGATTTTGTGGTCTTAGCAGGCTCTCAGAGTCTGTAGCGTTAACTAATTGTACGTGGTTAACACAGTAGACTTGAGAGAGCATGCGTGCGCAGCCAAAAATCTTTCATCATTGATGGAGCAGACCACCTGTCAAGAACCCATCAGGAATGCTTGACTGACAACAGTCTACAGTCCATTACTGCACATATCCTTGACATTTTTCCATTGTCTATATTGCCATATTCTATAGTAATTATTTAATGAAGTTTTTAAAAGGAATAATTATTGTACCTTAATCGTCCTATCCAAAGAGGCACTGGCAAATTGGTTATTATCCTTTGGGTTTATCACAATCTGCATAACATAATGAGTGTGTCCTTCAAACACCTGAGAACAAGACCATTTTTTATCCCAGTCCCAGAGCTTAATAAGCATGTCATCTGGAAAAAAACAAATCCAAATTAGTTTTAAATATTCATATACCTATATTTTTTAAAACAAGATCCTAAATAACCCAATTTTCAAGGCTCCATCATTCCTGCATAAACGGAAGTGTTATTAATATCAACATTATTTATGGACTTTACTCTGGAGACAGTTTACCCTAACAGGCAGGGGGTGACTATGAGGAATGCAAAGGTTTGTTTCTACCCCACTCATAAGCCAAAAAATAAATACCCAGGCTTCAGTTTAATGCAGATGACTACCTCTGTTGCCAGAGGTAAGAAAGTAATAATTAGTCTAGATTGCTTACATAGTTAAACATTTGGCTACCATTTCAGGGCCATTCAGTGTTCTCTATAAGAGGACACTGGTATGGGGGAACTGGACTGCTCCATTATTATTTCTTTTCTACTTTTTTTTTTATGAAAGTCTGAAAGATTTAATTAAAAAGATAGCAACAATGGTAAAAATGTTTAAACACCTGCAGACATATCCTTGATTCTGCATAAAGCCTCTATTCCATCTAGAGCAGAGGTGGGAAAACTACAGCCCTTTTAGGCTGAGGCTACAGAAAAATGTCCCGTGATCCAGCATAGTTCTCAGGTAGTGTGACTGCCTCCCCTGAAGGGGCATGGCAGAGTCTTGCCTGCCAGCAGCAGCCAGCAACTTTGAACGACATGGGCCCACCACAGCATACAGGCAGGCCACCTGCTTGAGTGCCCTGCTACAGCGCCAGCCATAAATGGTCTGCTTGCATGCATCTCCTAGCCAGAGCCTGCACCTTGCACCCCCCTCCTGTACACCAACTCCTACCCCACATCACAACTCCCTCCTGCACCCTCTCTATAGCAACATGCAGCCTGTGATCACTTGCCAAAATTCTTCAAGTGGCCCCTCTGCAAAAATTATTATCCACCCCTGATCTAGAGGGTAGTCCAGTTATTCTTCTCACAGTTCTTGCAACATAGCCAGTTCAGCTATACCATTTCATTGCTCTTCAGAGGACATGCCTCAGTTTGTTCTCTTGAACCCTGGTTCTACAATTATACAGTATTTCTTCTTTTTGCTTCTAAGCATCTGAAAACTAGCTCTTCCTTTTAACTTCCTGAAGAAAAGCTAAAAGTCCAATGTCTACCTTTTTCCCCTTCATAGAAGATGAGTGTCAGTCTCGGTCAGAACACTGATTCATCTCAGACACTAAGGACTGTACATCAATATTAAGGACCAAGATAACAGTTTGATTTGCTTACTAGGGAATCAAAATTGAATGTGGTGCACACAGCATGAAGCCAACAACTGTCTGATGGAAGGGCATTATGTTTAAAGTGTGAAACAGGACAATCCCAATATCACTGATATCACAATCTTATTATAAAAGCCCTAGAATGCTTGTAGTTTTAGCCAGCAAAATTGAAATTAATCTCGATATATGTCAAATCCGCCAAAACAGCATGTAAGTAAACTTTTTGTTTGGCAAACATTAAGCAATTAGATCTTCAGGTCTTCTTTGAAAACCACTTAATTTATTATATCTCAAAGCCTAAGTAAGGTTGGGATTCCATTAAAAACATGAAAGTAACTGGCAAAGAAATAATTTGAGATGACAAATGAGGAGTAAGGGAGCAAGTGTAGACATACCCCATCTCGAGATAGGGATGCAAATGTAGTGTACTGAAATTGCTAATGAAGTGCGGGATTTAAATATCCCGTGCTTAATTAGCATAATCGCATCCAGCCACCATTCTGAAATCGCATTATTGCGAAATAACGCTTCTACATGGGGTGTTATATTTCGCAGTAATGAGATTTCAAAATGGTGGCCGGACGCAATTATGCTAATTAAGCTCAGGATATTTAAATCCCACGCTTCATTAGCAATTTCGGTACACTACATTTGCATCCCTACCTCAAGATAGGGAGCAAGTGTAAACATACCCTAGGCTACTTGCTCAAGAACTCTTATTTCAGTAGCAACAATACAGGGCACACTGTTTTCCATACATTAGGAAACTATCTGAACAGAATTGTGGGGGAAAAATCTCTTACCACTGCTAGTTAGAATGAAAGGCTGTGTAGGATGCACAGCAATGCAGCGAATATAATCTGAGTGTGCTTCGAACATGTGAACTCTTTCCAAGGTGTTGTAATTGAAAACTCTAATTTGCATGTCATCCTATAGATGGAAAAAAAAAAAGACACTTAGTGAGCTTTTTGGTAAAAGTATTTCACATTAAATAAAGGTTAATATTCCACCTTCAAAGATTCTTCATCCATAAAACTGCATTAGAAGTCTGAAGAAAGAAAACAGTGCAAACCAACACAATTATTCAGACATGGTTTTGGTTCAGAAATCCATATTACATTATCCTATTTTAGGCCATTTATAAACACCGAAAAATTAATTTATGATCAAAGTTTCTCAAATATGGTATTAGCCCAAATGGATGCTTACTTTACTTGAAGATAATAATATTCCTTTTGAAGTTTTCACATTATGTGAACACACAAAAGTGTTTTTCATGCATTAAAGGCTTTTGTTCTGTTCCCACTACAGTCAAGGGGGAAACATAAATTAACATCAATGTTGTAAGATCATGCTATAAGAGACAGATGCTGCAGCACACTCAAATAACTTGGTTTTCTTTTTAGAACATAACAGCCATACTGGGTCAGACCAAAGGTCCATCTAGCCCAGTATCTTGTCTGCTGACAGTGGCCAATGCCAGAGGGAGTGAACTGAACAGGGAATAATCAAGTGATCCCTCTCCTGTCACCCATTTCCAGCTTCTGACAAACAGAGGCCAGGGACACCACCCCTACACATCCTGGCTAATAGCCATTACTGGACTTAAATTCATGGAGGTTATCTAGGTCATTCTGAACCCTGTTAAAGTCCTGGTCTATACAACATCCTCTGGCAAGAAGTTCGACAGATTGACTGTGCACTGAGTGAAGAAAAACTTCCTTTTGTTTGCTTTAAACCTGCTACCTATTAGTGACCCCTAATTCTTGTGCTATGGGAACAAGTAAATAACTTTTCCTTATTCACACTCTCCATACCTGTCATGATTTTACAGAACTCGATCATATCCCTCCTTAGTCTCCTCTTTCCTAAAATAAAAAGTCCCAGTCTTTTTAATCTCTCTTCATATGGCACCCATTCCAAACCCCTGATCATTTTTGTTGCCCTCTTCTGAACCTTTTCCTGTGCCAATATATCTTTTTTGAGATGAGGCGACCACATCTGTCCACAGTATTTAAGATGTGGGAGTACTATGGATTTATACAGAGGCAATAAGATATTCTCTGTCTTATTCTCTATCCCTTTTTTAATGATTCCTATCATTGCTTGCTTTTTTGACTGCCGCTGCACACTGAGTGGATGTTTTCAGAACACAATTCACAATGACTCCAAGATAGCTCTCAAGTGGTTATACCTAAATTAGTCCCCTATAATTTTGTATGTATAGTCGGGATTATTTTTTCCAGTGTGCATTACTTTGCATTCATCAACATTAAAATTCATTTGCCATTTTGTCGCCCAATCACCTAGTTTTGTGAGATCCTTTTGAAATTCTTTGTGGTCTGCTTTAGGGATGTTTCATTTAGATTAATAAACTAATCGAATAGTCAGTGAAGACTTCCATTGACTATTAGATTAGTCTAGAAGGGCTCCTCCGCCTTTGAACTTCAAAAGTGGAAGCCTCGCAGAGAGGCAAATGCAAACTGGCTTAATGTTCTAAAAGGGCTCATCTAGACTACAGGGAACGGTCGAAAGAAGATATGCAAATTCCTGCAGAATTTGCATATCTTCTTCCAATCACACTTTCGAAAGTGGAGTGTAAACCTCCTTTTTTGAGGAAAAGCGGCTTTTCAATGAAGGGAGCGGTTCGCCAAAAAAGCCGCATCTTAATTACTTTCATTTTCAAAAGCTCTGCTTTGGAAAATTCCTGCAGAATTTCATATCCTCTTTCAACCGTTCCGCATAGTCTAGGTACGCCCAAAGTGAACAAAAATTTCCTTTAAAGAGTCTGCACTGAAAATGAGGACAAGCAAAGACTACTTACACACTTTCAAAATCATATTACCTTGCATAATTCAAGCTCTTTAGCCTAATTACAGGAACATCAGTAAGCTCCTATGCATATTACTTTTAAAGAAGTTGTAAAGCAGTGCCAGGAGTGATTCAAGTTGGTAATATACATTGGACCTAAATATAAAGTTGACCACCACTTGATTTTTTCCGTTTTTAAAATGAGTAAGTTAGAGCTTTAATATGCCCTCCTATTCAGTGAATTTAGGTGAATATTTTGGGAAAAAACTGTAAGCTGTTATCTTCTTCTAGTGTATATGTTAATATCAAACCATACTTATGCACCATCAAGAAGAGTGCAACAAAGTAAGTTGGGGAAAAAGAGAAGGAATGTATATGAAACAAAGAAAGGCAACTTACCGCTCCTGTCACAACCCAGTTCTTTCTTGCCACAAATTTGGCAGCTCTGACTGGCAGGTCACATACTTCAAAGGTCTTCACTAGAGTCTAAAATTAGAAATATTGGAGTATATTACTAAGAAAATGTCAGTTACAAAATCTGTTCAGATTATTTTAAAACAGCCCACTTTTGAACAGTTCCAACTTTAAGAATTGTCAAGGAGTTGCTCGAGAAAGGGATCCGAATTCCCTTTTAAGGCAGGTGAGTATAAATATAAAGTCAGCTATGGAGAATTATTTACACTATGGTGCAGTTTTGCAGAGTCTTAAAATGTTTAAAATCTCCTGGAATAAACTAAAATGAAAAATAATTTGGAAAAAAAAAATCACACTACATACTTAAACCCTGGCATATATGCAATCTCCATAGTCCTCTACATCTTTCTGTAGACTGTTTCTTAATGTTTGTAATATCACCTGAACGACATATGTTGGGGCCACACATAGATTGCAAGCAAATGAGCCTCAAATTCAGGGAGATTAAACAGAAAAAAAATAAGCTTAAATTCAAGTTAAAGATCACATCCCTATCACTTTTAGTATTCAAGGTATTAGAGAGAGAGAGCACGTGCGCGCTCTATGCTGGGTTAACATCCTGATTTGTCTTCTTTATAACATGACACTTATTTGTCCGAGGCTACAATTTGAAAATGCACAGCCATTAGGTACAGTAAAACCTGTGTTATCCGGCATGCTTAGGGATTAGGGCGTTCCGGTTATCTGAGGGTCCCACCAACCCAGGAAAAACCAATGGACAATAATAGTAAAACTCAAGTTTTTAATACTGGTAGCTTTGAAATGTAAGGCAGTTGGTCTCATTTCTATTTTGAGTTAAAGATGATTAGTACATCTTAAATAAAAAAATTGTTAAGCCAATCAAGGGAAACGAGGCCAGGCCTGTGTACCTGAAGATATGACAGTATTGTGGCTGTGGGCAATGCCGGTTAACAAAGTGTTCTGGTTAACAGAGTGCCGGATAACAGAAGTTTCACTGTATATTGTTCTTTAATAGCACCAACCTGTATATGGCATGAAACCCATGAATTTCTTTAAGACAGGATGACTGAGAAAATTATAATTTTTGTTTTGCTTTTTTAAATAAGAATTACTATTTATTATTTTTATCTAAAGTTCTTTCAAATACATCTGCTGCAGAAGAATGAACATCTTACATTACCATCATCAGGGAACACATAAATAAATTACCATATTTCCATACTGTTTTTAATTAAAAACAAAGTATAGTACAAGAAGTTTACCTGTGTTTCATGATTCCAAACACAGACACTACCATTGTACAGGCTCGCTAACATCCATGGTTCAGTGGGGTGCAAGTCCACACTCTTTACTCGGTCAGACCGAGCTGTTAGTTTTCGCTTAATATCAAGTCGGAGAGGCTAGATATCAGAAAAATTCAAAATGCTACATTATTCTTCAAGGAAATAAAATGGCATAAATAATTTTAATGTATTTGCAGCGTAAATAAGAAAAAACCCTGAAGATTAGATCTAACACATGGGTTCCCAAACTGGGGGGCGTGAGGCGACCCAGCCGCCCCCCTCCCCCCAATCAAGTTTTGCTGCCCTGCTCAGTTCCCTTTTTTTTTTTGGCTAGACAAGTTTTTTGGGGGACAGGGGAGCGTGAGGGTTTTTCAAAAATCAGAAAGGGGGGCGTGATGCTGAAAAGTTTGGGAACCACTGATCTAAAATAAAGCCAGATGCTCTGTTTTGCAGGCACATACATCACATACTCCTTATCCCATCTACCCATTTACTCTCTTCTTGTAAGACAATTTTTGGAATATAAACAAACACTGCTTTCTGAGTGGCATCATTCCCACTGAGTTCTCTGGAGCAGGATGTGGTCCCAATAGAGGGTAAAGTATCACTCTTGTCCACATTTTCTTTAGTCCACATGAACATATTGCTTGTGAAGAGGTCCTGAACTGCACAAAATGTATCTACAGAATAAGCTCAAAGAAAGGAAGGGCAGTGCATGCTTCTGCACAGTATCCTGCCTGGTACACCGATAAACGTACATCGCATGGATATGGAATAACAAAGCTACCTCAAATGTAAAAGACAATTGGCCAATTTTAAGATCCTCTCTCTCCTCTGCACTTGTACTGTGAACATAATGTAGGAGCCAGTTACCAAAAACTGAGATGTGTAATGGAGACACATTATTAGAAATTTTGGAGTCCATTATAAATTGGAGTATCACAAGTCTTGATGTCTCACAAGGCTCGATGTCTGGCTGGCAGTTATTCCAGTGTTTAACCACTCTGACAGTTAGGATGTTTTTCCTAATGTCCAACCTAAAACTCCCTTGCTGCAATTTAAGCCCACTGCTTCTTGTCCTATCATCAGAGGCCAAGGAGAACAAGTTTTCTCCCTTCTCATTGTAACACCCTTTCAGATACCAGAAAACCACTATCATATCCCCAATTCTTTCACTCTTCCCTCATAGGTCATGTTTTCTAGATCTTCAATCATTTTTGTTGCTCCTCTCTGGACCTTCTCCAATTTCTCCACATCTTTCTTGAAATGTGGTACCCAGAACTGGACACAATACTCCAACTGAGACCTAACCAGCGCAGAGTAGAGTGGAAAAATGACTTCTCATGTCTTGCTCACAGCATTGTTTATTATTATTGTTATTATTTGCAACAGCGTCACACTGTGACTCATATTTAGCTTGTGGTCCACTATGACCCCTAGACTCCTTTTTGCAGTACTCCTTCCTAGACAGTCGCTTCCCATTCTGTATGTATGAAACTGATTGTTCCTTCCTAAGGAATTTCATCCTATTTACCTCAGACCATTTCTCTAGTTTGTCCAGATCATTTTGAATTTTGATCCTATACTCCGAAGCACTGGCAACCTCTCTCAGCTTGGTGGTATCTGCAATCTTAGTAATTGTACTCTCTATACCATCATCTAAATTAGAGATGGGGAAATGTTTTTGGGTTAGGGGCCACTGATCATCAGAAAAAACAGTTGGGGGCCACAAGTGAGAAGCAAAAAACCAAACCCTCAATGGCACGGTCCCCCAAGTGAGAAAGACAAAGACACTCCACACATTCTGCTCACACACCAAAGCCTTGGGAGGCCCAGCCTAGGCATGTGAAGGACTAGTCGACTAGTCAACGATACGATAAGCATTTGCTTATCAGATAGTTGACACACTAGTCACTTCCCCTCCCCCTTGCTCCCTCTATCGGAAAGAGGCAGGTGGAGGGAAGAAAAAGTAGTGTTTCAAAGCAGCAGTGACACGTGAAGCCTGAGACTCCCCCGCTGGCCCCGTGCTCCCTGCAGCTCTTTCATCTTTGAAGTGGTGAAGGCACTCTTATTGACTAACCAAACAGTCGATGCAAATTGCATTGACTATTCAATTAGCCGATTAATCTAAAGATAACATCCTTAATCCAGCCTTGTAGATTTTGTGCTTCAGCTCCATGGTTGGATAGCGGTGGGGCTAGAGTGCCAGTTCAGGCTCCCTAATGTTGGTGAGGGGGCATGAGCCTCTGACAGCCAGATCCAGGCAAGCCAGGGGCCGCATCCAATCCCCAGACCTGAGGTTCTCCACCCGATGTCAATTGTTGATGAAGATATCGACAAAAGAGACCCCTGCAGAACCCCACTTGTTATGCCTTTCCAGCATGATTACTAATAACTACTCTCTGAGAAAGGTTATCCAGTCAATTATGCAACCACCTTATAGTAGCCCCATCTAGGTTGTATTTCCCTAGTTTATTGAAAAGAAGGTCATGCAAGACTTTGCCAAATGCCTTACTAAAGCCTAGATATGCTACAACCACCGCTTCTCCCTTAGCCACAAGGCTTGATATTCTATCAAATAAAGCTATCAGATTGGTTTGACATGCTTTGCTCTTTACAAATCCATGCTGGCTGTTATCACCTTATCTTCCAGATGTTTGCAGATGAATTCCTTAATTACCGTCTCCATTATCTTCCCTGGCACAGAAGTTAAACTGACTGGTCTGTAGTTTCCTGGGTAGTTCTTATTTCCCTATTTATAGATGGGCACTATCCCAAGCACTGCTAAAGGCAGTTCTACAGACAAGGACCTGGGGATTACAGTTGATGAGAAGCTGAATATGAGTCAACAGTGTGTCCCTGTAGCCAAGAAGGCTAATGGCATATTAGGCTGCATTAGTAGGAGCATTGCCAGCAGATCTAGAGAAGTGATTATTCCCCTTTAAGTACTAATCATGGCACATCTGGAGTATTGTGTCCAATTCTGGGCTCCCCATTACAGAAAGGATGTGGACACATTGGAGAGAATCCAGTGGAGGACAACCAAAATGATTAGGAGGCTGAGGCATATGACTTATGAGGAGAGGCTGAGGGATCTGGGCTTATTTAGTCTACAAAAGAAAAGAGTGAGGGGGGATTTGATAGCAGCCTTCAACTACCTGAAGGGTAGTTCCAAAGACAATGGAGAGAGGCTATTCTCAGAAGTGACGGATGACAGAACAAGGAGCAATGGTCTCAAGTTGCAGTGTGGAAGGTCTAGGTTGGATATTAGGAAAAACTATTTCATTAGGTGGGTGGAGCAGCACTGGAATGGGATACTTAGGAAGGTGCTGGAATCTCCATCCCTAGAGGTTTTTAAGTCCCAGCTTAACAAAGCTCTGGCTGGGAGGATTTAGTTGGGATTCATTCTGCTTTTAAAAGGGGGTTGGACTCAACCTCCTAAGATCTCTTCTAACCCTATGATTCTAAGGCCTTTAAAAAAAACCTGATAAAATACAGAAGTCAATGTTCATACAGTCATGGAACCACAGATTATACTGGAAGAAACCTCGAGAGGTCAAGTCTAGGCCATGCCTGACAAACGTTTGTCTATTGTGCTCTTAAGAATCTTCAGTTACAGGTTTTCCACAATCTGGCAATTTATGCCTATGCTTAACCACCCTGAGAGTTCAGAAGTTTTTCCTAATGTCCCTTACTGCAATTTAAGATTTCTTTTAAAGGAGCACCACAAAGTACACCTCCCATTATACCCTGATTCTGCGTGTCCATCTATGAATCAATTTGTTCAAGAATTCCTCCTAAATAGTAAAAGCTAGAATCACCACAATTTGTTTGCAGCTTCCTTTCATCAAAACTTAAAGCAAGGACAGGGTTTTATTGTGCCAAGACAATGGGATGTGCATGGAATGCGACTGTTTGTGAAACACAAAGTGAGGAGGTGTGATAGCGAGAGTTATACTTACTAGTGACCAGAAGGGGATAAGTAAGCACCCCAGCTCCGGGGAGCAGCTGTTGGCTGGCAGCACAGCTCAATTATCCCTGGGGAGCAGCCACCAGATGCCTCTACCCCCTCCCCTGGGCCTGCTCACATCTCCCAACTCCCTGCTCTGATTCCTGCACCCCTTACACCTCAACTCCCCTACTCTGAAGGACCTGAGGAATGACAGGTAAGTTTTCTAGTAGAACTATAAAATAAATAATAATTCCTCAGTTGAAACATGCTAATTTAGTATGTAGAAGAGTACAAACAAGTCATCATCTGTATGAAATTTTAAGTTGTACTAGGGCTGTCAATTAATTGCAGTTTTGACCACTCAGTTAAGAACAGCATCCAAAATGAAATTAAGTATTTTTGGAGGTCTTCAATGACATTGACTTCAGTTACAACACAAAATGCAGAGTACAGTGCTCATCTTATAATTCAATTAATATATTTGCACTAATAGTATTTTTCAATTCACTACATAAAAATCACTTTAGTAGTCTCTATATTGTGAAAGCACAACTTATAATTTTTTTTGTTACAAAACTGCACTCAAAAATAAACAGTGTAAAACTTTAGCACCTACAAATACATTCAGTTCCATTGCTTATTCAGCCAACTCTTAAGACATACACATTTGTTTATATTTAATGGAGATAATGCTACCCACTTCTTAATTACTAGCCAATTAGCCTGTCATCAGATGGGATTTTCAGGTCTCTCCTCCGCTTTGGTCTTCTCCCCTGAGCCTCCGGTCTCTGTCTCTCTTGGTCTCTCTCCCCTCCTCCTACTGCCTCCCCCTCTCTCTCTCAGCTCTCCTCCGCCTCCTG